AAGAGTGGCGGAGAGTTTCTAGCCAGTTCTTGCCCGCTCTACGCCCTTGACTTGCGAACTGGTAGTAAATGTAAATTTAGAATCAATTTAACATCTCTTCTGTTAACGTTCATAAGTGTACTTGGTTACCTTTATTAATTAAGTTATTTTGAGTTTGAGTTTTAGTCATCTGCTTGAACTACGGCTGTACCAATGGATATCTGAAACTGACTTTAACCCAAAATTTAACGACATAGGGTACAGAGCAGATATATTTCTGCGTCTATTTTATTGATATTAAGAGAAAACCTGTTAGACCGAGGCTGGACGAGTTTGTCAAAGACCTCGAAACAATACGTATTTAATTTCGTACCTGAAGAAGACTGGAGGTAATAATAATAATAAGTTTATTTGCAATATAGTACAAAAATATTATGGTGGTACAAACTAAACTTCGCATCTCTGCTACACAAAGGCGTACAAATTTGTCTTACATAATTAGAAGGTAGAATTTTATTATAATAATAATTAATACATTTGTTCCAAAAGTACTATTAAAGCGATTTCTATAATCTCTAGAAGGAATATCTTTGAATGTTTTTGGTAAATTATAAATCTTGCCATAAAAGTATTTCTATACAATTCCAGAATTTTTGACTAGATTGCTAGATTGTGAAAAAATTTATTGGCAAGAAAGACAAATTATTTGTACGGATAAAATATGCCGGTTTCCTCACTGATTTCACCGTACGGGTAAACAAAAAACCTACTAACAAATGGTAATAACAATACCTTTTAGTTACCGTTACTTAATCTCGGAATATTTAGACACGATCACGACTTAAAACCGCATTTCAAAACCGCGAAATAAATTGTCAATTGATAAATTGCAAGACATGATATCCTAAACGAAGGATTTTCGATACAAAATTGTAAAATGAACCAAAACTATACTATTTTTGGAATCAAACACTGACCTTTTTAGGTCTGGGCCTCAGATTTCTGCATCTGTTTCATTTGTAAATCTAATAGACAAGTAGGTGATCAGCCTCCTGTGCCTGACACACGTTGAATTTTTGGGTCTAAGTCAAATTTTCCTCACGATGTTTTTTCCTTCACCGTTCGAGCGAATGTTAAATGCGCACATAGACAGAACGTCCATTGGTGCACAGCCGGATGGAACCTACGACCTCAGGGATGAGAGTTAGATAAAATATCTGACAATATAGTTTTATTTTATTCCATAAAAATACAAACACACAAATTAACAGTCAGTAATAAGGTAAAAGCATCCTCCAAAGAATTCCACAATTATAATTTTTTGCTATCTTCAGCCAACTTTCCCCTGCCATCATTTCGTCTGTCCACCTGGCTCAAGGCCGGCCTCTCGATTATAAACATCGTGGCCTTTTCACCTGTTTTTAAGTCCACCTGTCGTCGTTGTACCTGGCCTTGTGTCCATCCCATTTCCTTTGAAGGGAGAAAGTGGCATGTCTTTGTTCTTTTTCGAATATCTGTATTTCTTATTTTGTCCTTTTACTTGATGCCATGGTAACTTGTCTCTATTCTTCTTTGTGTTTTTTTAAGTAAAACTTCTTTAGGCGCATGAGGGTAAAATTTTTACGGAACGTCACAAAGATGTGCAGTTTTTTTTTCTTTAATAAAGATGTGCTAGTATAATATTGTGGTGCAATACTTGAACACCGATGGTGTTTTTAATACATGTCAATATAATTATTATTTTACTAAGTAACTAAATTACAATTTTTTGTTGGTTTTGTATTTTTATAAGGGCACAGAACCAATACCTTTTTTGTTAAGACCCAGTTGGCTATTTTAGAAAATGTGGACATAAGTTAGCAATTATGATAATAATGAATTTGTTATATTATTTGGTAATTGTTACCATATTAATAGTGGTATTTCTATATACATAACAACAACTAATTTTAGTTCTGGTTTTTAATTAGCCTTAGTATCATTCAATAATATAGAAAAACTGGCAAAATTAAATTAATTTTGGGCAGCTTAATTACTCTATAATTAATTTACAAAGAAGTTTCACTTCTGACATGTGTACTTTGTACGCACGCACTTTTTTTTAAATCAAAGTCCAAGTTGGACTTGGACAAAAACCTTCTTATGAGCTACCCAAAAACGCACTTTCTTCGCTCAAAGCATTTTCTCTTTCAGAGGCCCTTTCTTTAACCACTTCCAAAACTTTTTAGTTATCAACCTGTCCCATGCTCAAAAAGTATCAAATCAAATCAAAATACGTTTATTCAGTTTAGATGCGTCTTGATATGACTGCGAAAATGACATAAACCACCACCAAACGTCATTAAAGTTACATAAGTAAAAAAAATAAAAATCTGTTCTGTGATTTACCACATTCACCATTACACACATATATTCTTCCTAGTAGTTTAATTATAATTTATTAAGTACCTAAAATTAATAATGCCCATGCGCAGGGGATCCTGTCCTGCAAACGGAGAGGAGGCTCACCTGATGTTAAGTGATACCGCTGCCCTACGACACTCACATTGGCAGAAGGCTCGCAAGTGCGTTGCCGGCCTTTTAAGAATAGGTACGCTCTTTTTTTTTAAGGACCCTTAGTCGAATTGGTTCGGAAATAATTCAGTGGGCAGCTGGTTCCGCAGTGGTGGTGCGTGGCAAAAACTGCCCCAAAAACGCAAAACATAGCATTGGTATTGACAGGCATCACTCGGCCTCAGAGAATCAGTCACAAAATGCATTAATACCTAATTAGATTAGTTATTTCATTAAAAGTACTTAAAACCGACTAAATCCTGACTAAATAATAGTAATATGATGAACGCAGGGGAGATTTTAAAAATACTTTTTCATTTACACACAGTAGTTGATTTAATTATGTTCAGGATTGGCTTTATTCAAATCAATTGACAATTATTAATAGTTTTCAGTAAAAATGGCGTCGCACGGGTCCCTGTGGCGAAATATGTGAACAAACGTCAAGTTTTTTTTACAATACACATATATTTCGATCAAAATTAGTCTGTGGCGAAATTAGACTCCAATACAGTGTTTTTTTTTAATATTATGGCAATAGTTTTAACTTTAGAATATTAATTTTAATTATAATCTTTCTGAAGTCCCCTTTTTGGAACTAAATTGACTCGGCAATGTTGCCGTCGATGTTTGAGTCGGGCTTTTTTGATAACCTACTTTAAAGATTGATTACCCACAACGAAAATATAAGGGAACGAAATAAGAATAGGTTTAATACCACTAAACAATTGCCGCAAAGGTACTGCCATTTAAATTTTTTCTTTGAGGGCTTTTATATATAATTTTTTGACAAAATGAATAAAAAAACGAAAAAAATATATTACATATTAATAGATTATAACTTAAAGTTACTATTATTTTTAATTGTTCATAATTTAAAGTCAGAGAAACTGTAACAAAATTACAACAAGGATAGGGATGTCTTCGAAAAATGTAAATTTTTGCTTTCTCCCTATTTTCTCATCTTTTCCCGAGTAGTAGAACCCCAATATAATAAACAAAATAATTTTACAAAAAAAAAAAAAAGATAAATACAAAAAAAAAAAGGAAATACTAAAAATAAAGGGGGCAATACAGTGTTAAGTAGGGATGTGAAAAAATAATCGATTATTAAAAAAATCGATTAAAATCGATTTTCTTAAAAGTAAAAATCGATTTTTTACGCGATTTTTATATTTAAAATAATCGATTATTTTTATAATTGAAAATCAATCATAGTCGATTTTTCATCTGCCACCTCCCGACATTATGTCTGGTCTTTTATAACCCGGACCTCGAACTATTAGATGTTTACAATGCGATACATTGAATCCGATCCTTTGAAGATGTATTGATATACTCGATGCATTGATGTTTTTTTGTAAAACATCAAAAGGATGATAAACCAGTTAATTTTACAAAAACTCACGTTTGAATGGAACATTATAATTTAAAAGTAAAATAAATTTATTCAGCAGCACAAGATTACGTACAATTAAAAAGACAACAAAAATACTGCAATGTGCTACTGAAAAGGCATAACTAAGCATTTATCAAATTTCACCTAAAATCTATCAAAACGAGATTAAGTTAATTTCGATTTTGATTATTCTTAAACGTTAATTTGTGTTTATAATTTCTATTGTTTATTTTTAATTTAGAAAAAACATGAAAAATAAAATATTTAGGGTGTTTATTTTGAAATTAATTCAAAAATTTGGAAAAATCGATTAATAAAAAAAATCGTTAGACTTAGACGTGTCAAAACACACATCATTTACTTGTCTCAACTAAATTTATTCATATAAGTAGGTAACTAAGTACACTTATGAACGTCAACAGAAAAGATGTTGAATGGATTCTAAATTTAATACCAATTCGTAAGTCAAGGGCGTAGAGCGGGCAAGAACTGGCAGGTAACTCTCCGCCACTCTTTTTAATCTACGCGCGAAGAGAAGAGTTGTTAGAAATACGCTGCCGCTGACTTGTAGGTTTATTATCAAGCTCCACATTTCCCTAGCCCTCAATCATAGATCTCTCTATTCAAAATCAGTTCAGTAGATCAAAAGATTACCTCTATTAGCATGTGTTGGAAGAGATTGCTCTCACGCATTGCCCTCTTCAGCCATTAGATTGCAAATAAATATTTTGTTTTACCAGGAATCGAACCTTATTAGGCAAAATATTTATAGTTCGTCAGTTCTACAGGTAATAAATATACATTGAAACACAGAGTTATTATCAATTTAATTTCATAGATACAAAAAAATCTTAATAGCTAATCGTTAATTTCGGAAATATATTGTATAGAAAAGATAAAAGTAAATTAAACAACAAATTGACTTTAAAACTGAAAAAGAAAAATTATTTTAGGTTTTATACATGTGAAGAAATTCATGAATTGATTTAAATTCACAATTAAATATTTGTGAACAGACTAAAATACTTCAGTTCCAACAATATCCTGGTCACACTGGTCCGTTTTGGAGTCAATCATCAAAATTTGGTTGTTTGACTCGTCTGGACTTTGTCACCTCCTTCTCCAATTTCCCGGGGCTGGTCGCTCTCAACAAGGTCTTTTTCCGCAGCGACCTCTTCGGTTCGGAAGGAGTCAGAAATTCAGCTTCCAGATTCTTCGGCCTCAAATAGGTCCTCGGTAACGGCGTGAAGAACTTCTCCTCTGGCGATTTCGGCGTGAAGAACTCCTGCGGAGATTCCTCGACTGCTATTTTAGGTCTGGATCGGGAAGGTCGTGGAGTTATGGTCTCCAAGTTCGGTTTGGATATCTTTGGCTCCGGAATTTTGAATTTTGGCTTCGGCTTTTGCGGGGTCTCCTCTTTTTTATCGAAGTCCAGCAACTTATTAATCGGCTTCAATCTCTTTGGCAGCTCTTCATTTATAACAATTTTGGGAGTCTGAAGTTTGGGCATCACCCTCGACTCCGGCGTCTTCGGCACTTCCGTCAGTTTCAAATTGTCAAATTCGACCTCTAGATGTTTCATCTGGGCCCTCTTTGGCTTTGACATGTTGCACGTCGCCATCATCAAGTTCGCTATTTCATTTTTGACATACGCGTCAACGTTCTGACAGATCCCACATATTTTTGCTGTCAACTCATTTGTCCTGTCAAAACGGCCCTTTGACAGCTCGAAAAACGCGTACTCTATTAAAAAGTCGACCTCCATCGTTCTCAACTCTTCCAAATACCTCGTCTTGACAGCATCAGCGATATAATCTTCAAACATTGAATTGTCAATCGACTTCAATTTCGCTTCGGCGAGTTTAAAACTTTCCGAGGCCCCCTCGAAGTAGTTCCTGGCGATTTGGGTCTCCTTCGACCGGAAGAACGTGGAGGCTTCCAAGGAAGTCGTGAGGCACGCTAGGATGGAACACGCGGGGACCGTGCACGCGTAGCACGCGCACTGGACGTGGTCCAAAAATCCTGGCATGTGAAAAGCAGGCACAGAGGTATAAGAGCTGGTGGGGCTTTTATCCCCAATCGTCAAGCAGTTGAGGGAAACTTCGATATTTTCATATTTGAATGACTTCGGTGGAGTCTTCTTAGCATCTTCGTTTTGAGGCTTTATCTCTCGCGTCAAGCCCAGGATATATTTTAGACGATTGTCGATTTTAATCTGAAAAAATAAACCAAATAAATAGACGTCACCTTTTTAGGTCTGGGCCTCAGATTACTGTATCTGTGCCATGATTTAGTCGATCTAATTTTCGGCTTTCAAGTAGGTGGTCAGCGAAACTGTTTACTGTGCCTGACAACCGTTACGGCCGACATTTTGTGCGTTGGGGGGAACAAACTAAGGCAAGTTTTCCTTTGCCGTTCTCAAGGATGAGAGTTTTCAAATTAAAAAACAAGAATATATATATTTTTTAATATATAGCATCCCTAAATAGCAGGCAGCGGCAAACGAGCATTCCAATTCTTAAAAAGCCGGCAACGCACTCGCGAGCCCTCTGGCATTTAATGTATGGTATCACGTAACATCAGATGATATTCTATAAAAAAATAACTAAACAAAAATCGTTTCAATTCTTTACCTTCGCATCATCCGGTCGGCATGGGTCACAGAGGAGGGCGAAGAGCCTGCCGTGGGCAGCGGAGCCCGAGGGCGTTAGGGCAGCTCCCGCCGCTGTTTTGGCCCTCCGCCACAATTTCAGACGATTGCACACGGACGCACACGTCACGCTCGCCTGCTGTATGTAGAATCTTATTTGGAGCTGGTGACGACGACGGGTAAGCCATGTCATTTCTGAAATATTTAAAATAACTCGGTTCAAAACAGTATTTATATCACTTTCACTTATATGCTGTGGTCTCAGCTGACCAGCGCTGTGGAACAGTCTGCTCCTCAGCATAATGCTGAGCCAGGGCCAATTACAACCACAGCACACACGCATTACTCACTTGAAATTTCGAACCGAATGGGAAAGGGTTTTTCCACCTTCCTTTGATGAAGACTCTTATTATTAATATTTTGTTATTTGATTATTGTTATTTAGTGTAGTTTTTTTAAAACTGGCGATTAAAGTGAAATTTTGCCAGTTCTAGTCTCTCCCCGGCGGCCCGGGTTTTTGGGATGGCGCCAAAGGGAAAATTGGAAGCAATTAATGTTATGTCTGTCTAATATGATGTTCAAAGTGTTCATTGTAACTACAATAAATGATTTTTGACTTTGAAACAGTGTTGGCCTATAAGCTTCAGCGTCTCTCATCCCTGACCTTGTCAGTTCAATCTCCGGCTGTGCACCAATGGGATTTCTGTCTATGTGCGCATTTAACATTCAAGATCGTGAGGTAAATTTGCCTTGGATCCAAAAAATCGACGGCATATGTCAGGCACAGAAGGTTGCTTGCCTATTAGTTTGACAAAGATACAGAAATCTGAGGCCCAGGCCTAAAAAGGTAGCGCCACTATTTTTTTTTGAAGTTATACTTTTGGCGTGTTAAGGAAAAATGATGAGAGTAAATTTTTACGATGCGCACGCACGCCGTCACAAAAAACCGACACCCTGAAGTTACCTACAGTTAACATTTTTAGTTTTTTCTATTGTTAGTGCTGTTTTGGTGTCACATCTTCAGCTGTTATTGGAACAACCAGATGTGACGTGTCAGCAGTTGGTCAATGTTTAAATGAAATCTTAAAGCCGGAAAGTCACTTACCAGTGGGCTGTGCAGTCAAATAGTGCCTCTGAATAATATTCACAGCGGAGAGGAGAGACACATCGCTCATCATCACACCCAACTCCATTATCTTACCGATTGCAAGGTCCACTGTAAAAATTAAAACACTTATTAATCTATTGCATAGATTTTATCGCGGGCTTTGGGCGCGGCGACCGTATCTCGAAATTCCGTAACGAAAATAAACCTAACACACGATGACGTAGTATATGGTGCGGCCAATACGCGTTAGAGCGGGACAGAACGCATACTGCGTCTCACATCGGTCTGACGTGATCGGTGACGTAGCGTAAGCGCGACAGGTGCAGCCGGTATACGTTAGAGTGAGACGGACTATATAGGCGTGTTAGTCTGAGTCTGGTAGATTGAATTAATATCAAAGAAAAAAAACTGCGTAAAGAAAAATAAATAAATAATAATAATTGCATCTAAGCGATATTGAGACACATTCGTGATAAAGCACGCTCAAGCGTTCCCAATTTGCAAACAGAAGAACGGATTTATATAATTTCGGAAATTTAAAAAGTATTTTAGTATTTAATAGTTGTTATTGAGGGTGTAATGCTATGTAAAGTGAATCATTGTATGGAAGACAAGCTAAACCAATTAATTCCGAGAGATTTTGACGCTTTAGGGAGTTTGTCGTTACATCGAGAGCCGTTACATAGAGGTAACACTGTATTAGGAATCAAACCACTAAGATTGGCCACAATTTGCTTAAAAAAATAAGAATCAGTAGCGCTACAACCTTTTGGACCTGGGCCTCAGATTTCTGTAACTGTTTAATGATCATTTTTAAATCTAATAGGCAAGTGATCAGCCTCCAGTGCCTGACACACGCCGTCGACTTTTGGGTCTAAGGCAAGCCGGTTTCTTCACGATTTCCTTCACCGTTCGAGCGAATGTTAAATGCGCATAGCAAGAAAGTCCATTGGTGCACAGCCGGGGTTCGAACCTACGACCTCAGGGATGAGAGTCGCTCGCTGAAGCCACTAGGCCAACAATGCTCACAATTAGTTAATCAATGAATATAAGTAAACTTACAATGTACACCAGGAAATATTTTAATTAGATCCACTACACATTTCTCAGCCTTCCTTAAAAGCTGAGCCGCTATTGATAGCTTTTTACACCTTGCATAGTATATCTGCAAAGAGAAATTATCGTTAACCGTCTTTCAAGGACAATTTATACTATATATAGGCTTTCTAACAGACTAACAAACAAAATTAAATCATTTTTATTGAATTACCATCATTGTATGGATACAAATGAGTGAATCCACGGACGCACAGGCCAATCGAGTGGAAGAGAGATAGATGCAAGCGTACGGGACAATGAGCGTATCGGGACACTGAACGTAACGGGACATGAGCGTATAGTGACAATGGGCGTAACGGGACACTATTATTACTATACTAGCAATAATAGCATTCGCTTTTACGACTTTGTTCCACGGGGCAAGTGATTTGCAGGTTCTGCGTTGTGTATGATGTGGTGGAGGTATTTCTGGAGACACACACATATATATATATATATATATATATATATACTTACACCAAGCTCACACAGGAACACGAGTGCCGGGTCGGCCGTCTGGTTGTCCTTGAGCAAGACGGCGCACACCTTCACAGCGTTCATTGCGATCGCGTTGAATTCGGTTCGCTCGGCTCCAGCGTGAAAGAGCAGAACTCCCGCACAGCGGACGAACGATACTCTGAAAACGTTTTTTTTTATTTATCTTCTTTGAAATCTAATTATCTGTTTTTTTTTTATTTTATTTAAGTTTTCATCCCCTTTTTTTATTCATCTGCGTTTTGTCCTAATTTCTTTATTTATCTGTGCTTTTCTGAATTTTTATTCGTGTGCTTTTTTTCATATTTTTTAAATTTATCTGTGTTTTTTCCTAATTTCTTTATTTGTCTGTGGTTTTATCCAAATGTTTTTTAATTTATTTTTTGAATCTATTTAAATTATTTGTTATTTTTTAATCCATTTATCAGTTATCCGTTTTTGTATCAATATTTTTATTTAATATTTCTTTCTTAAATATTTTTAAATGTATAAAATAAACTGTTTTTTTAATCACCTTTTTAACTGTGCTTTTTAAATTTATTTAATTTATCTGATATTTGTTTAATGAGATTAATTTATTATAAAAATGCCATTTACTTGTCTCCAACGAGGTTTGCCAAACGCATCCCAATGTGCGCCAACTGAAGTGCGTGAGTTGTTCTCTCGAGGTGCAACAATTGAAAGATCGTCATTTCACACAAGTATAGTAAGTGGGGTAGCCGGTTCGATGACACTGAAAAATATAAATTAAAATGGCAAATATTCATTTTTAAATTCGTGTTCGGCTAATTGTTAGGCGTGGGTTTCAACGCTGAGATCGTAGTTTTGAATTTGAAACTTCTTTAGGCGCATGAGAGTAAAATTTTTAAAAAACGTCACGAAGATGTGCAGCGTTTTTGTCGAAGAAAAGGGAGAGAGCGATTGAGACCAATTGAGGGAGAGTGAGAAGAGGCGAATTACCTTATAGAAATTCTATTTTTAAAATTAAAATTTCGTTAAGAGAATTTATGAAATATTAGTATTTTATATTTTATGCAAAATAATTTAATGAAATCTCAAATGACGAATTAATTGTAAATTAAAATGCCACGTGTTTTATTATCGATGAAATAAATTAAATTTATAATTTGTATTAATTCGACCTAACATTTTAATGAAAAATTAATTCCTAACATATCTTCCTTTTTCCTCCTCTCTAAGTCTCGGAAATCTAAAGTTTAAGATTTGTATAAATATGAGCAAGACTTAAAAAGAAGTTTCACTTCTGACATTTGTACTTTGTACGCACGCACTTTTTTCACTTCCTACGGTGAAAGTAAAATACAAAATTATATAAAGCCAGAACAACGGGTTCCGCGAATAGATTAAATTGTCTCACCATTTTTAATTTCCCTTTTGAGGGTAGTCAACAATTCCACGGCTCGTATGGAATCCTTGGAAGCGTTGAATTCGTCCAGAATACTCTTGTACACTGTGCTTTTACTGGGGTCAAATGTCTAAAATATATTAGTACATGTAATAACAGCATTAGGGGCAATTATCAAGTGCTTATTTATAGTATAGAAAGGGCCAACATGTCATTATGTAAAATATATTATTTATCAAAAAACCTTTTTAGGTCTGGGCCTCAGATTTCTCTATCTGTTTCATGATTCGTCAATTTAATAGGCAAGAAGTGATCGGCCTCCTGTGCCTGACACACGCCGGCTTTTTGGAAAATGTTCCTCACGATGTTTTCCTTCACCGTGCGAGTGAATGTTAATACATTGAAAGAAAGTCGATTGGTGCATAGTATAATGCGGTACACTTATAACGCTATTTTGTATAACGCGAGCCGGATTTACCGCGTTATAGAGGGGTTTACTGCATTTGCACAATATTTAAAAATATATTACGTAAACAGATTTACTGAAATTTATCCCCCCCTCCTCTTGACAACAAAAGTAAGCAAAGCTCTCAAAAATAATAGTGGGTACATAAACGTATTAGTTTTTTGTAGGAATCCTCGAAAATGCATTTCGTTTTCAAGCATAGACAATGTGTGGGTAACATGTGTAAAAAAAGTAAATAATTACTGATGACGTCATCACCAAATAAGAAAATCAAAGAACCCAAGCCCTTCTATAGTGCTTACGTAACACTTGAACGGCCCCTATACACTTACATGTTCTGCTTGCTTCCACCCAAATCTGTCGGAGGCATCTTGTAAATCGTGTTCGGACTTCATCATCAATAAAGCTATGTACACGATTTTGTCGTTTAATGGCAATTTCTGTAAAATATTAGATTAAATTAAATTTACGTTATAATTCATTAGGCGCGTTATGAAAAATTAATGAGAGTGAAATTTTACGATTGCGCCGTGACACAAAATTAACAGAATGAAGTTGCCCACGGAAGATGCTACGGCATTGAACATAATTTAAAAACAACATTCGAATAATAATAGAATTTATGTTACACTTATAGAACTAATTTGAGTGTACGACCAACCAGGCTCCAAAAGATAAACCACTCCTTTATGGAAATTGTATTCTTTTTAAAACTCCCAACGAAATAGTAAAAAAATTATCACTAAATAAATTTAAAGCCCTCGTTAAACGAAAATTAATCAACAAAGCTTTTATAAATTTGAGGACTACTTAAATGATCCTAACCCTTGGGATTGATTGCTCCAGTTCAAACAATTTGTATGACAATACTTGGCAATTAAAAAGAGTGGCGGAAAGTTTCTTGCCAGTTCTTCTTACCGCTCTACGCCCTTGACTTGCGAACTGGTAGTAAATGTAAATTTACGATTAATTTAACTTGACGATTCAAAAGTGTACTTGGTTACCTACTTGAATAAAGATATTTTGAGTTTGAGTTTGAGTTTGTAAGAGAATAATAATAAATATTTATTTATTTAATTTTTCAAATGTAAACTGAACTTCATTGACTATAGTGACTCCTATTCCAGTCTTTGATTATTTAATTGTAATTAATTATTTGCATGCAATCAAAAACTATTTTTATTAATGCCAAAGAAGTATAACTTCTTACGCGCGTACGTAAGTACATGCACCCTTTTCTTTATATGTACGTCTATAACGTATTTTACAGCGTATTGGTAAAGCTGGCGGCTTCAACGCATTTACACTTTGTGCTTGTGTAATGTCTGTGAATAAGCGCGAGACGTTATGTCAAACTGAATATGAAAAGAAATGTCACATGAAAATACTGTCCGTCTCTCTCGCGCTCACTCAAGCTTATGAGTATAAAAGAGACAGTTATTGTTTTACTTTTGCTACTGTTTATGTTGATCTTTTTTCAAACATTACCAGGACAATCTCGTGAAATGGTGCACAATGTTTTTAATTATTTTAAGCATCTTAATAAAAATGTTTAATAAAATTTTTTTTAATTTTAATTTGGCATCTGATGCGACTGGGGTTTCTAAGAGGAGTATTGAAAGAATTGTTAGTGTAGTAAAAGTTAAGTGTGTTGAGCTAGATGGAGCTTATGTCGAGAAATGAAAAATTATTTCCACAAACTACTCTTTTACGTTCTTGGTCGGGCTTAGAACTTTTGGATCCACCCTCGTATGCACATAATATTTATATGTATTTGACACATTTTTATTTATTTACAACCCACCCAACCTTACTAAAACCAGAGTAGACTAAAATATATGGCTTGGCAAAAAGTCATATTTTTAAACATACTGTATAGTGAAATTGCATTTGTGTGACTACTGTGAACGCGCCAGCTTTCGATAACCGACCTATACCTACGACCAAGCCAACATAGAGATACATACATTATACTCCATATTTTCAATAATTTTCTTGACAATTTCTTTAAAATTCGCTTCCTGTATTGTTCGTACCACATCCGGAGTCTTCAGAATTACATCATACAAAATATTTTTTAACATTGGCTTGTCTTCAGCTGAAAATTAAAAAAATATTATTATTAAGAAAAATCAATTCTTATTTACAAGGCTAATTAACATTTTTTTTAATAGTAGACGCCCATAAAGGGCAGTCATCACGGCCCATGCATACCCATTTTAGTGGGTGCGTTGCCGGCCTTTGAGGGCTCCTCAGTATAGGTCATAATATGTCTCAAGGAAGACCCTTATGCTTAATAATCAACAGTGGAAATGTGCGGGGCACATGGCAAGAGGAACAAAAAGTAATGAAAAATAGTACTATTGCCCAAGGTACAGAAAACTAAAAACAAGAAGACAACTTAGAAGGTGGATAGACCAAGTTATAGAAACAGCATTTACATGGCAGAGAGTGGTACAGTGTACAGAGGAATGGCGGTATTTGAAACCTTTCCCAAAGGGCACACAGATATCAAAAGAAGATTAATAAAGAATAATAAAAATTACAATATTTGACTCCAAAACATTACATTTTGTACTTAAATTTAAAAGATTATATACATACACTACGGCTACGAATCGTTGGAATACAATATTCATTGTGGTTAACCTTATTAATATACTTCTATGAGCACTAGCGTTTAAACTAGGCCTAGCCTGTATCTTAAACGCTAGTTCCTTCCAGTGTCATTAAGAAATTGGTTAATTTGTTTGTCATTAGATGGTTATTCATTTTTAATTTTATTAAACTAAATGAAGGTAGAATCTATTTAAGTTGTTGCAATTGGTTAGACCGTAGTAAGTGTGAACTTTGACAATTTTTAAGTCTTGTGAATGACAAACTAGGATACGAGATATGAATTTAGTGTCGTTATTTAGGAAGTAAGATTGAAATAGAAATATGTTTAAATGTAAGACTCTGATTTATATATTTTTTTTTAATAATTTTGACATACATTAAGGTCACTTGGGGCGAAGTAAAAAATAATACTCACAAAATGTCCATTCATATTTATCCAATATCATATTATTTAAAGATCTGATAACTCCAGTTATAGGAACAAGGGACGGCCAAAGTTTCACATAAATTGAGAACTCATGCTTCAATAGATCACTGAAAAAAAAATCAATATATCAGTCAGAAGGTGATCTATATGTGAACAACCAGTCACTTTCCGAGCAGCTTGATCGCTGATGAAGAGATGTGGGGTATCTGCATCTTCTACCGCATTCGACATCAGCTGAGTTTCATCATTCTCGAAGCAGAATACAAAATACCATCCATATCACCTCGACGTCTGTTCTTAAGGCAGTTTTTGCCGCGCAACACAACTATGTGGAACCAGTGCCCACTGAAGTACTTCCGAAACAATTCTACTTAGAGTCCTTCAAGAAAAGAGGATACCGATTCTGCGACCATTTGCGAGCCTTCTGGCAATGTTAGTGTCCAACTAACATCAGAGGCCTCTTGTATTTATGTACGCGCGTAAGAAGTTATACTTCTTTGGCATTATTAAAAATAGTTTTTGATTGCTCGCAAATAATTAATTACAATTTAATTGTAACTGGAAAAGGAGTCATTATAGTCAATAAGTTTACATTTGAAAAATTAAATAAATAAATATTTATTATTATTCTCTTTCATTAAGTGTAACTTAAATTATATTATTATTCGAATGTTATTTTTAAATTATGTCCAATGCCGTAGCATCTTCCGTGGGCAACTTCATTCTGATAATTTTGTGTCACGGGTGCGCGCGCATCGTTTCACTCTCATCAATATTTCATAACGCGCCTAAAGAAGTATAACTTCAAAAAAATGTCCGATTGCGCCATTCTATAAAAAAGTTTTCCCCAGAGCAACACATGTGGGGTTCAGCATTATTAGCTTGGGTTTATATAAAGTGTGTTGGGGCAAACATTTTCTGGGCTAAATAATTACTAAAAACAGTGTTGGCCTAGTGGCTTCAGCGTGGATTGTCTCTGTAGTTGTAGGTTGGATCCCCAGCTGTGCTTTGGACCAATGGACAGAAAGTCGATGGCTTGTGTCAGGCACAGGAGGCTGATCACCTACTTGCCTATTAGATTGAGAAATCATGAAACAGTTACAGACCTTAAAAGATTGTAGCGTCAATGATTTTTTTAAAGTGAAAACTTCATTGTTAGCAATTACCATTGTTGTGATATGAAAGTTGATGAAACAAAAAAGTGACAGTAAAATGAGATATACACATAAATTCATAAGATTTAACGAGGGAGAAAACGAGAGTCTTTTTTCTTTTCATCAACTTTCAAACTTTAATTATTTTAGTTTTTATCAAAATTAAAGATTGATATTAAACTTAAAAATTAAAATTACATTCATCTTATTATCATGAAGCCAAAATTTTTGAAGGTATAACTTCTACCATGTGTGAATTGCACACTTGGCTTTTTAATAATTACTGCCTATACTAATTAAGAACTCAACTTCTTGAGTCCCGATAATTAATGTTAGTATAGATCACCTCCGGGTTGAGACCAGCACATGGCCAGTAAAGACGTAAAAGAAGACATATGGAGGAGAAAACTCACCTAAATTTGATCTTCCTCAACAATGGAACTAGGTTTTTATATTCACTTATTTCATTACAAGCATCGATAACTGACATCAGTTGTATCCCATCATTATTTTCCACATCACTATTCACCGCTTTACCTTTTATATCAAGCACTAAACTCATATATTTCTCCAAATTTTGTCCGTTGTCAAAGACCATACTTAAGAAAGCGTCCTTTAATGCATTCACATACAATTTCCTGTCGGCTTCACATATACTCTTATTGTATAGCGCTCGGCACAAATTCTTATTCTGAGTCTCAAATTCATTTTTTATACAAAAGTCAAATAGCCGTATGGCAAAATCATATTGCTGTGATTTGTAGAATTGTATCGCTGTGTTGTGTGTGTCTGATACGAGTTTGGCGTAATACTTTTCATGATTTGTACACTTCAAAAGTCTTAACGTTTTTAAAATTTCATACTGCTCATCGATTATTGAATAAAGAAGTTTCTGCTTTGTATTCAAATTAACTATATTTTTCACTAAAAAACTTAAACGTAAGGCATCATGAAATCCTGTTTGGATCTTACAGTTTTCGCATTTAATAAGTTGTTTGCAATTCTTTACTTTCTCCATCAGAAATAATATTAAATTAAGGCAATTTTCGTTCAATTCAAATTTTTTTCTTTGGTAATGTTCTATACATAGCCTTAACAATTGATTAAGGTACGGATATGTCGCCACCATTATAGATTTATATCCCAGTTTTTCTGTTGTCTCACAAGACACCAGCATATTTCGAAATACATTCTCGGCATCTTTTGGTCTACTTAAGATATACATAAATGAATTTAAATAGAATGTCTGCAGACAATGAAAAATATCTGGTCTATGCCCAAGGAGGGACAAACATGTCCTAACAATTTCATCTAACGGTGAATCTTTAAAGTCAGATTTTGACGATATCTCTGTTATAACATAAACACACTCACTAACTTTAGTATAAATCTCATCTAAGTGTTCATCTTTCAATCCACTTAAGTCATAAGATCTAATATTATCAAAAATAATTTGATATGTCTTATTCAAATTACTTAAAGAAACATCGGCATATATTACATTCAATTTTTTCACAATAAAAGGCAAGATATTAGTACAGAAATCACTTTGGTCTGTGTAAATTTGTATCACTTTTGACAAATCCTCATTCAGTTTTGGAAAAAGTTTAACTATTGGTATCCTCAAAGGTTTTAGCTTTTCTATATAATTTATTCTATCTGCTAAAACACTCCAGTATGTTTTGTGGTATTCCTTAAGGAGTATGTCTGCCTCAAATGGCATTATTGATAATTTGAGTACCAATTCCGGTGGTACAGAAGATACATTCTGAAACATTAATATTGTTATATAAGTATCAGCTAAAAGCTCTACAACTTCTTTTTCTTATCAATCTAGTAGCAACCAATAAATAAAATATAATTTTTAATGATTTATAATAATAGACTATTTTTGTTTAATGTATCATTGAAGCAGTGTATTGTACTATATTTCAAAGGCCTGTAATTTGAAACAAATTAAAATATAGTATACAATTTAGTGGATTAAAAGTGGCAATGACTTTTTCATCAAGAGTCAACACCTTCTTAAGGACTTGTATCTAACACATAATTTAATTTAATATCCTTTCCCACCCTTTACAGTAGGATTTAATATTTTTTTATTATAATAAGAAGAAGGTTTCAGGTTTGTTGCATGTCAACACGGAGAAGGTAAATGTTGTTTCAACATATAGTATTTTAATAATATGTATAAAAAATTGCAACCACAACTATTTGGAATTAAGTTAGTTGTAATTTTTATTACCTGTTTGACAATATATTTATGTACATGGTAAATGGCTGCCAGGGTCTTTACTTGTGGTTCACCAGTCACACCTCTTGTATGCCTAACACAATCTATGCACAGCTTTAAAAAATCCTTATTATCTATAGAATTTCTCCATGATGGAACTTTCTCAAGATTTCTGAAAATAGAAACAAAATCAGATACCCTATGTAACTGTTGCTTCAAATTTCTTGTTTCGTTCTTGCCATTACTTCTACTCTACTAGCATATTTTCTTGCGTTATTTATGTTTATTAACCTTAATGAGAATAAAATTAGGGTTTTTATCTGAGTAAATTTCATTATTGTTTTAAATAGGCATTCATTGTAAGGAATGAGTATGACTAGCTTATAAATACATACCGGCATAATATGCACAGCACATTAAGAGAAAACGAACTTTTTTCGTTCGAAGATATCTTATTCAAAACGGTATGGTATTCCTCATGAGCAGCAGCCAAATTACAAAAGTCTTTATTGGAACCGTGAGCTTTAAGCTTTATCACCAAATCGTTACAAATCTTCTCGGTCATATTATTCTAGGTTCTTAGTAGTTAATACTTAATAAAACTTCCAAAACATAGTATGAAGTCATGAATATGAACTCCGAACACCGATATCCGTTACTTTTATTTTTAAATTTCTATCAAGAGACAACATAACATGACTTTGGCGTATATCAATCAATCAATGTCATTTTTTCCATTAGTTTGATAAGTTTGCTAAATGTCAGAGAATATATTATTATGTGTTTTTTTAAAGGCTTACACAAAATCAGTTTACGACATGCGCTACCCATTACCACAAATTTGTATGGGAATTACATTATTCGTTTGGCGTTTATGGGTTATGCCTGACACAAAGTAATTTTACCGAGTAAATAGTATAATTTAAATAGTAACGAGACCTTTAAGCCTAGATAGATATGTAATTAGTAACCATTTTGAAAGGAAATAGTCTTTCTCCTTAGGTTTTGACCGACGTTAAAAAATTCGAAGGCTGAACAACAAGAAATTAAAGTTTACTTATCATTCTTGGTTCAAATGGCAAATCTTTTATTTTATTGAAACTGTAAGGATAGTTTCATAAACGAGAGTTAACACTAGTGTGGCCGAGCAACTAAATTCCTAAATCGAAATAATTAGAATTATACTCGCAAGGATAATGGAAGGATTATTACTAATAGCGATACCGCTATGGTGTTGTGTGAGAGGAATTCTTATATTAATTGTCTAGCACGGTATAACTGAAGAGAAAAGTGGACTGTATGCGGGGCGTTAAGTCGTTGGTTATCAGCGGTAGATGGGAGTTCTCACTGCTTTGGAATAATATTGTTACGAGCTAGGGGATCGGATAGAAAAACCATAGATTTCTTCAAGGGTTTATTTTCAAATAAATCTACGAGGAATTTGGTTACACTAAAAAGCCGGAAATTACGCACAGAAATTCACTAACTACCATACACAAAATACTGTCACTAATTACTTTAATTATACGCACTTCACACAGTACTTTATCACTTGTCTTCACTAGATTCGCACTTTATTTCTTCGGTGTTTATCTCTTGAAATCGCACTCGAAACTGAACTAATTGGTCGCGTTTCGGCTCGCTTATATATCCCTGGGAATAATCTTGAACGATGTTCGAGAACTTTCTAGACAGGAGCGCTACTGAGTAGCGATCGCACAATTCTAGAACGTGCGTACTCGCTATCTCTTTCGAACATTGCTCCATCCTTGTCGTACGGCGTTCTAGAGTGTTCGGTCTAGCTTCGAGAAGGTTCCGATCTTCCCTCTCTCTTGCGTATCATACCGTCCTTGTCCAGAATTTCGGTCTAGAATATTTCTTCAACAAAGGGGTATAACCAGGCCTGAAAACGCCTGATGACGGGTTTCCTGAAAAGTGTACCACTCGACTACACTTGTTCTGACTCTGTCTGAAAAAACGTGTCAGCCTCCAGAAAACTAGGGTAACATTCTGTAAATTATGATTTTCTAATATGTGATTGACCCTCTCCTGCAACGGTCAGAAATCACATTTCAGCCTGCTGAAAAGTTCTCTAACTTGTGGAAAAATCTAGAAACATTCCATTCGACCCGTATAGAAATATATAATAGAAATAAAAATGAGTAATTGCATGAAGTATCAAGACAAAAAATCATACTAAACTAAGAAATTCAATGACATTCTGTGCTGCCATCCGAAAGTTTTCAAATAATTCAATTATCATCTTTCATTAGGCAGACTCTAAGTTCCAATTAGATATATATCGAGTGTCAACTGTGGCAGTCTGTGACTAGTGTCTACTGTCTAGTAATGCTTGTGTGTTTAGTATGTAATCTGTGGTGCTAAAAAACCGCCTTTTTCATTTACGTTTTCTAAAAACCTAAAAAACATAAATTGAAATTGAAACTTTAACGAAAACGACGTTATGTTTTGTTAACCACAATGAAAAAGTAAATATCGTCATTACTCAATTAAAATTATCCTGAAACCACTACTTAGTATCATAGTAGCTAGGCTGGTATTGTGGAATTCAGGTAAATTTACATTTCATTAAATGAAAACAAAATGTAATATAAGTGTTATATCATATTTCAAATAAAATTAGTTAAAAATATCATCAGTAATCATTTGCATATTCAATAAAAAGTTAACCTCTCTTAATAACGTCCAATGACTGGGCCGTCAGTTTAAAATTGAATTGTATTATAAATAAGTTGTCTTCTTGCAGAATGTTGGGGAGTTCACTGAAATTTAATTTAATTCTCCTAAAGGCTGTAAGCGTCTACTACTTCATATCACTACAGATCTTTGATGTTATATATAAAGCTCAACCAGTTGTTATTGATGAACTCTTTCATATACCACAAGGAATTGCGTTTTGCCAATGGAATTTCTCACATTGGGACCAAAAAATCACAACATTGCCAGGTCTATATCTAGCAACTTCCATATACCCACTATTAGACATAAAATGTACTGCATATAATTTGAAATTGATTAATTTGATAGCATCTGGTCTAAATTTAATAATATTTGCATTTTTGCTCAAATTTATTTATGGTAGCAATACAGGTAGTCAAATCAAAGTTATTGTACAGGCCGTCAGCTTAGCTTTACTGCCGCCATTGTATTTCTTTTCGTTTGTTTATTATACTGATACTTTATCTTTGCTTGTTTTGTTAATTTTTACAACAATGTCTGTGGTATTTAAGAGTTATTGGTTGGTATTTGTGAGCGGTGCCCTATCAGTGATCATGAGACAGACTAATGTGGTATGGGTTGCCATGGTATTCGGGCATAAAATTCTGGATTTGCTCATTCGTACCTCAAGAGTGTTTGGTAATCAGTATTTAAATAAACATGCAATAAGACATAGTATTATAGCTCATAACATAGATTCATCTAGATTAAAGAAATATTATGATTTGAAAGATGTATTAATTGCTTTAGGATATCATTTAACAACTTGTTGCGCAAGTCTGTTTAAGTTCCTAACAGTATCCGATTTTATTATATTGTTCCAACAGCTGTCAGTATTGCTTGGTTTTGTAGGATTTATTTATATGAATGGTTCTATTGTTGTTGGTGATAAAACTGCGCATCAAGCAACATTACACTTACCACAATTGTTATACTTTTTGCTGTTCTATGGTGTTTTTGGGTTGCCATATGTGCTTGGCAGGTTCACATCAACCGTTAAATTAATTTTTAAAAATAAGTTTAAAGTTGTCTTACTAGCCATTATAATTACAATAGTAGTACATTATAATACACTTGTGCATCCATACTTGTTGGCGGACAACCGTCACTACACATTTTACATATGGAATCGTTGGTTTGGTAGATATGATTATGCAAAGTATGTGACGATACCAGCCTATATTTTCTTACTATTTAGTTTATATGATAATTTGAAAGACCAAAATTGTATTTCATTCTTATTACCATATACAGTCTGTTTGTTTTTGATGCTGGCATTACAGAAATTAGTTGATGTTAGATACTTTTTGGTTCCCTACATAATCATACGCTTGAGATTTGTGAAGTCCTCCTATAAAATAGTTATTTTCGAATTTCTTTGGTATTTGGCAATTAATATTGCAACATTTTATATATTTTTCAACAAAGAAATCATGTGGACTAATTTTAAAGAACCGCAAAGGATAGTTTGGTAGACTTTCAGACATCAACAATATAAGCTAATTTTATTTAATATTTACTATTAATATAATATGTATCCTGGCATAGATTTCTAGAAGGGTTGCATAGACAACAGAAGCATACCAGGTGATTAAAAATCATACCTTTATATATTATAGTACAAAATGCTTCTGCAACCCTATTTATCTATTCCGTTATGTATACAGGCAATATATCCAGGGTTATGAGATTTTTTTAGTAATATTTGAAGCCGCTTCAGGATGTCTATGATCTGTCATCTGTTTAGTTTTATTTGAGCTGTATATGTTTAGTTTATTAATGTCTAGTCGTAGGTAACATGCATTTTCTGTATAATTTTAATAATGATTATGATTTTTATTAATTAAATAAATGGTAATAATTCTGTTTTCTTTTGTGGAAAAGTGTTTTATTTATGTTGTACAGCTTTTTTAAGACATCTTCGAATAATAGAGAATTGTGTCAATAATTTTGAGCATCTTTTATTTTAAAAAAGATTATATTGAAACTGTTTTCAACGGACTTGCATCCTGAGTAGAAGGATTCTAATTACGTCAATCGAGTTAAAAAACCTATTTATCATGTGTATGAGAATCAATTCTAAGTAGAATAAAAAAAAGAAAAATCAGTGGCGCTACGTTTTTAGGTATAGGGAAAGCCGGTTTCCTCGCGTCTTCCTACGTACGAGCGAATGTTAAATGCGCATATAAAAAGTCTATTGGTGGACAGGGATCGAACCTACGACCTCAGGGATGAGAGTCGCATGCTGAAGCCGCGAGGCCAATACTGCTCTTTTAAGTAGAATTACGTTCATTAATTTTTCCGGATTTTTTTTATTTAGCACTTCTAGCACAAAACAATGAATCGGTGCACTTCCAGGGTTCAAACGCATGACCGCACTTTGTCGCTTTATTACATCTAAAATTTAAATTGTTTTAGCAATTCAGACTCAGTTATCAGAATATATGCGAGAGTTTGACTAAATGATTAAGGCCCTATCCAAGCACGAATTGCTGTGTCAGTGTCTCGGAGTGGACTGCGGGGCGCAGTGGAGAGCTGGAGTACTGAGGAGCGCCGGCCCGTAATAACAATTAGTTATGTAAAACATTAAATTAATGTAATTTTATCATATTTTTTTCTGAAATGGATTACTTGGCTTGCGATAAAATATATCGTGTAAATTTCAAAATAATGTTCTATATACATTTTCGTCATAAAATGAATTCAAAGTGTCAAAAATTATTTTTCTATCGAGCGATACATAAACTACTCAACACCACCATATATTTTTTCCATTCGCCCTACTTCAAGAAATGATGACGAAAAATGGAAAGAAACAATGTACTTTTTTGGAGTTAGTTAGTTAGTGGCGACCATATAGGTCCTTAATAGTTTAAATGAATAAAAGGTCAATAAATAGTTATAAACATTTATTATAATTTAAAAAATATAAATTACAATTAAAAATTTGCTACTTAACCTGGTAACATGCATAAAAATGCGCAATAGAATTCATCGATTTAAAATGTTAAAATAATGTACTTTAAACTGGGATACACTCTGTCATGTCTCGTGTGTGTACGCAGGAGTAATGTGTGCGCATGCGCAGGGACAGAAGTCCCTTATTCCATACGCATTCAATGGCGATAGTAATTTACAATACACGACCTTAGGCTCAAGTGTAACCCCGGATGCTAACCTGCCCTTTAATCATGATATCTTAACACAGCCCTTTTCGGCTTCTCAAGCCATTCACGTATTACGTAAGCAATTTACTGGAAATCATCCCTCCCCCTCCTCTTGTCAGCAAAAGTAAGCAAAGCTCTCAAAAACAATAGTACATAAACGTATCAATTTTTCGTAGAAATCCTCGAAAATGCCTTTCGTATTTTGTAAAAAGTAAATACTGTTGACGTAATAATAAGAAAATCAAAGAACCCCCCTCCCCCCTCGCCCTTATAGTGCTTACGTAATACTTGAACGGGCCCTTAGGGTAAATTAAATTTTATATATAAAATGCTTTTTATCTTAAATTTAATTCAAATTTTAATAAAAGGTTTAAAACATTTGAATTCTATATAAGTACACATGAGGAATGAAAATTACAATGGAGATCATGGTTAACTAAAACTGCGTCGGTATTCTGTAAATAGCGATTCCAACTAAAAAAAAGCGCACGTACCTCCCTCCTATATAACGGTAGATTGGTTGTTATAAGAGTATTCACGTATAACGCGCTTTTATGACGTCATATCATATAACGCGTTATGTACAAATGATACACGTTTAACTTTTCATGAATGGGAAATTACATCGAATATCAAGATAAAACTGTTATGGACGAAATAAGTACAAATCTTATAAATGAAAGTATAGAATTATAACACGCAATTCCCGCGATATATGACGGAATACCAGTATAACACGAGGGACTGAAACCGCGTAATATAAGAGTACCGTGTTATAAGGTTTACTGTAGTTATTCAAGAAAAGAGCGTACTGATTCCGCATAGGCCGGCAACGCATTACTTCTGGCAATGTGACTGTCCATGGGCAGTATTACTTCTTAGCTTCAGGTGAGCCTTCTGCCCGTTTGCCCCCTGTTATATTATAATATATATTATAACAATATGATTTCACAGTTTCTAGATAGTTCTCTCGATATCCGTTGGAAGTCGCTATACAAATACCGGCACCCTTAACAGATAAAAGATTATCCTTTATATAATTAACGGAATGTATAATTCGTTGTAAATTAAAACCGATTTCAAAATGAACTAGAGTAAATAAAAATTAAATAACATATGTTTAAGTAGCCATTGACAACCTTCTAGCTCCATCAGAGTAGCAGCCAGTATAAGTGATGATATGGAATATCCAAAACCATCATAACTGATAACTTTCTAACCTTAAAATTTGCTATTAGTTTTACAATATCGCTTGCCCCGAAGAACAAAGTCGTAAAGCACTATTACGACTATTTAAAAGTTTTCTCATTTTAATGAATTTTTGCAAAACATTTTATTATAAATAAAACACGGGAAAGTTTGTGCAATGTTAGTAATACTTAGCTAATTTTACTTTCCTGAAATAGACCGCAACAACCATAAAAGATATATTAAATTTACACTTTAATTTTACCAAAAAATCATAAAATTATAAACATATATTTGTATATGTACGGGTTGGATTTAAAATTACGTCGCCTTATACGAAACTGATTATGTATCTTGATTGGATCCAAGTAATTTTTGGCTGCCGGAGTTGCGTCTATAAAAAAAAATGAAATACAATTTGTGTATTGTAATGAAATTCGTTAAACGAAACGTACATTTCATACTTTTCTCCTAACTATATAATTTAAGCAGCGTGTTTTTCAAAACATGTGAAACGAAACGCAAACCGCTTTTATGAATGTAGATTTTGACAGAAATTACACTGACATATTCAATCCGTTACTTTCAAGTTTATGTGAATGTGCTTATGCGTTTATTTTATTTGGATTTTTTGGAAACTAAACTAAATATAGCCAATATTTTACAATCGAGATAGTTGTGATATTTTAAATCCGTAGGCGCGGAGGCTTGAATAAAAAACCCTTTGGTACGCAAGGGTGGAGGGGCTGCATTTCCAGTAGCGCCGGAACTGTCTAAAAAACCTATTATTATCTATTGTTAGGTTAGGTTAGATTTATTTTTTTTATTTTAAATAACTGTTTCCCGCTCGTGGGAGTGGAGGACCTTCCTCTTCCTACTTCCACCCCTCCCACTCGCAACCCCCAAATGGGGCGACGGATTTTTAAATCGTTACCTAATGTACTTATATGCTAGTCATTTTATTGCATAACCTTCTTTTATATTTCCTGAAAGAAAATAGGTTTTGTTTTCACGACGTTCCCCGGGACAAGAGTTATATAAACTTTAACCATTTGGCTGTAATTACACTTTTTTCATATTAAAATCGTACTCCTCGCTTTATACATAATTTAAGTTTAAAAAAAATGAAGTCGGTTTAAAAAATAAATCTAAAAATAAATTATCACATATCTCACTCACAAAACGACAACAAACTTTAATATTTGACCTAAAACAAATGGCGCGAACCAAGTTGTCACCACAGATAATGCGATTCAAATAAAACGTTATAGCTAAGTAACCGTTGGGCCAATTTAATAGATGACATTTGACATGACTGAGAAACAATTAATAACATTGTCTATGAATTTTGATAAGGTGTCAAATGTTGTCTATGTAAAGGCCACCTACATAAACTTTAGGGCATATATTACGTAATTATTTGTAGAAAATCGATTGGGACTTACGTATCTCTTTTGTAAAACGTGCGGGGATTGTTAATATTATTTTCGACTTTCCAGTACTTTACTTAGGTAGAGTCACGTAACGTTTTACTATTGGCTACAGAAAAACGTTACAGCGCGTAACATGGGGGGAGGGGGGGTTGTGTGTGTGTGTGTTAAAGAATCTTCAAAAATTGCGTGGTGTAATATTAAATGTTGTAACTTACGCTACGGTTGATCTTTCTAGCCGCTAGTTAAATGGCTATGCTGTTAATTGGACGGCCAATTAATCTATTTGGCTGCGACTCATATATTAAATCTATAAGGAAAAATACTTTCCCGGAAAACTCCACAAATTAGACGAAGATCCTAATTTTTATTTGAATCGCATTATACCAAGTACCCTCAAATTTTGCTCAATTTAAATCCATTTATCTTCCTTCTTCAGCAACGGCGACGTTTCCTCCTTCTCCTTCACCGGACTTATGTCCGGTTTACCGTTAAAATATTTGACATTTGACGTCGAAACAATGTATGGAACGCCCGCGTTGTCCGAACTGAGGGGGTTGTAGTATTGCCGATAACAAAATGTCGATACTGACAGACCAAGTATTGATCCGACTAGTACATCTAAAATTTAAATAAATATTAGTGGCGCTACAACCTTTTTAGGTCTGGGCCTCAGGTTTCTGTATGTTTCATGATTTTTCAATCTAATTGGCAAGTAGGTGACCAGCCTCTTGTGCCTGACACGTCTTGACTTTTCGGCTCTAAGGCAAGTTTTCCTCACGATGTTTTTCTTCACAGTTCGAGCGAATGTTAAATGCCCACATAGAAAGCCTATTGGTGCACAGCCTGGGATCGAACCTACGACCTCAGGGATGAGAGTCACACACTGAAGCCATTAGACCAACACTGCTCTTGACAAAATAATATATCCTTTCCCCATAAGAATATTTCTAAATTATGTCCAGCTATGTCACCACGGCTGATGACCCCTTGTTAAACATAAATCAATATGTATATTAATATATAATGTAGTATCAACCTCACCTTGCCAATGATGGTGATAATCGCACGTCCGCGACAACGCGATACAAGATGCGAGTACCAAAGGTGCTAACGTCACAGAGACCCGAACCCCCGACCCTCTGCCACGGGACAACACTCCCAAACGGCCACAGAGCCATAAAGACGCTATACCCAGAGAGCAGAACGACACTGAAAATAATAAATGAGTGCGTGTACTAGGTGTACACACGTAAGAAGTGAAACTTCTTTATGACCTTATTTTTCGAAAAATGATCTACTATATGCAACTATAGTAAATATAGATTTAGAGTTTAAAAAAAGGCTTTTATTATCACAGACATGAATGGTTGGGGGGGGAGCCCAAGAGTGTTTCGGTATTTACTATATTTTTGCAGATATTAATAGGGATACCTTGTACCCGGTTAAGGTACCTCCACAAATATGAGGCACAATATAAGGCCGCCCGTGGGACAGGATCAGATTAGTAAAAAAAATTGACCATCAGAAATTCCCGAGCGCGTCAGATTAAGGTAGGGTGAGTTAATTACATCCTAAAAGTGTATATTCCACTAATCTGACAATTTGAAAGTGACGTAAAAAAGGGGAGGGCAACAAAGTTGTAAAAAACGTCATCTCGACATTCTCGAACGTAGCTAATTTTTTTTTTTTTTGAAGGAAATAAAATATTCAAGAATAATGAAAAATATATAATCTGACGATTTCCGCAAGCCGAAATCACAAAAATTCGTCGATAAAGTTAAATGCGTGCAGCTGCGTGATGCCTACATTTCTTACCGATCGGATCTACTAACGCGTTCTAAATATTTCCCTCAAAATTACATTTCCTGTGAATTTGAACCGATCGACCGATAGATTTTGAGAAATTTTGAAAAATCTTAAAAAAATAAGAAATATTTTTTTTTAAGTGGTTTTTTATCGATCAACTTCAAAAACTAATCCGCCTTTGAGCTTGAAAAACCACGTCGACGCCACCAAGCTGGTCAAAAGCGGTTGATTGTTCGAGAATATCGTGAACGAAAGAAACCCGGAAAAGTGTTTTTCGGGATTACTCTGAAATTTGTGGTTCGATCAATTAAAATTGCAATTACATATGAGGATGATAAAACTGCGTCGAATGCCGCCAACCGCGGAAAATTGCTTGATCCATTCAAGTTTGCGGTTTGAAAATTCCAAAATAGTTTTTATGAAACTTCATCAGACTTTCGAGCTGGAGAGCCAATGCATAGAAATATTATTTTTTGAACTCAGGAGCCAAAATATCAATTTTAGCGCCCAGGAATGATTAGCGGCAGGGGCCCTTTAGGTGAACCGTTTTTCTAAATTTTTTTGTCAGATCAGGCGAATCCCTCTAGAAAGTCGATTATGAGACAGTACGTTTAGAACTATAAAGATGAACCACAATCTACTGACGGCTTGAGTATTTCAAAATTGCGATTTTTTTTGCAAATTATGAAAGGCCGTGGGTTTGCGTCCCATCGAAATCGTCAGATTAGTGAATGAGAGCTTTTTTGTGCACTTAACACTCCCTTGAATCTGACGCGCTCGATAATTTTTATTTTTTTCATTTTCAACCCTTAAATACAACCACCCGCATCATGCAACGATCAGATTAACATACGTACATTATTAAAAATACGTAGGGCATTGATGCTATCAATATCTGACGCGCCGAGGATGTCCATGCAACAGTTTTTTTACATATTTAATAACAGCCGCTCCCGTGAAAGGTATATATCATATAACATTGTTTTTTTTGCTTTGATCCCAATAGGTCTCTCGACCTCGGTAAATCCCCATTTAGCATCGTGGGCTCCCCTACCATAAATGATTATTACTATCATTGTTATCGTTATTATATATTTTTGTTATTAATGGCTTCGAATCTCTTCGGATCAACCGTGGTAGCGACAAGAAAAAGATGGCGCGTAACCGAAAAACGTGACGTGATTTCTCCTATACCTACGTCGATAAAGAAGTTTCACTTCAAAAATTTGTGACCGTGTATTGATATCATATGAGAGCGAAGAACTATTTAGGGCCTGACACGATTTTAGGTTCTTAACAAAAATTTGCGATTCCTTCAAGTCACTAATATATTGCTACGAGTAGCTAAAACTATTCACTATTCACTGCTAAAACAATTATTTACTAAGTAAAAGGTACGACCATATCCCAAAGAGTAGCCAATTAAATTTTATTATTCATTGTATTCACGATGATATTATATGACCACTGTCATACTTATTCAAAAAGATTACGCCGGATATAATATAACAATATGCTCGCAACTAGAGGCCAATGAAAGAAGATAGAATTATTTGAAAACTTTCGGATGGCAACACAGAATGTCATTGAATTTCTTAGGCTAGTATGATTTATTGTCTTGATACTTCATGCAATTACTCATTTTCATTTCTATTATATATTTTTTCTATTATATATAGAATATTTCGTTTCTTTCGCAGGACTTGATTATTACGAATAAAGTTGTGTTTAATAATAAATATAGTTTTAGTTTTCCATGCAATGCTAGTCATTTTAAGTATCAATTTTAAAAGACTAAATACGTATAGTATTTAATTTCATAGAAATACAGTTACTATCAATGTAAAAATAATAAAATAAAATCAAGTATCAAGTAAGTTTAATCCACAAAATATATCAAACTTTTAGGGATACCATACTATTTATTTTTTAATTAACCGCGCTTTTTCGTTATCTTCTTTCATTAGCCAGACTCTAAAGAATTATATTAATCATTATTTATATATATATACTCGTTTATATATACTCTAATATTCAAATAAAAGATTATTTTTTCGATTTGCGTAACTCGGCGTTTCGACTGCTTTTCAGCAACTGTGGAGAATCAGAATTAACTATTCGTTCCACCATTTATTTATTTATTGATAAAAATACATTCACTTACAGTACTAAACCAATACGATCTGGATTGGAAGTGAAACTTCTTTAGGCGCATGAGAGTAAAATTTTCACGGAACGTCACGAATATGTGCAGCGTTTTTGTCGAAGAAAAGGGAGTGTACGAGCCAAGGCTGTACCTTAGGGAGAAAGCGATTGACACCGAATGAGAGAGTGAGAAGGGTGAATTACCTAATAGAAATTATATTGATGAAATATTAGTATTTTATATTTTATGCAAAATAATTTATTGAAATCTCAAATGACGAATTGTAAATTAAAATGCCACGTGTTTTTATTATCGAACAAATAAATTTATGATTAATTATATTAATTTTCGACACTTAATATTTTAATGACAATTATTAAATTCCTAACATATCTTCCTTTTTCCCTCCCTCTAAGTCTCGGAAATCTAAACTTTTAGATTTGTATAAATATATTAGGAAACACAAAAGATTAGAACGTGTAGGTACTTCAGACTTAAAATCTACTGAGGTTAGGTTAGTAACAAGTCCGTTCCGCACGAAGTCTCGAAATAAAAAGTGAGTCAACGCCGGTGTTGCCACGCTTTATATAGGTTTCTGCTACAAAATGGCGTTAGTCCGCTAACACGGCCTCTCCTGACACCCTGACGTCCTCGTCAGGATTTGATGTCCAGCGTCTATACTGTCATCTCTGTGGGTTGAATAGAACGTTAGAACATTACAATTCTGGGAAGGTATTGCGTCGTCTATTTGGTCAGCAACTGAACATATTTACTTGGTTTAATACAAACAATCAAAGTAATGAAAGATAGAAAGGAACTTTAAAGTATCAGACTCCAAGGAATGAGTGAAAGATTATTCATAACCCTTACAAGATTTGAAACAAACTAGCACTTTCATGTGTAAGGACTTGTGTAAACAATCACAAGTTTAGTATCACCATAAGAGTAGATATAAGGTATAAAGGTCTACTTATTTCTCAAGAAGATCGTGAGTTTGGGGCTAGTTACCCTGTCCATTGATCTTTTTACCATTCATAAAAGGAAGATCGTGAGTTTGAGGCTGGTTACCCTGTCCATTGATCTTTTTACCATTCATACATGAAGATCATGAGTTTGGGGCTAGTTACCCTGTCCATTGATCTTTTTACCATTAATACAGGAAGATCGTAAGTTTGGGGCTGGTTACCCTGTCCATTGATCTTGTTACCATTTATACAGGAAGATCGTGAGTTTGGGGCTGGTTACCCTGTCCATTGATCTTTTTACAATTTATACAGGAAGATCGTAAGTTTGGGGCTGGTTACCCTGTCCATTGATCTTGTTACCATTTATACAGGAAGATCGTGAGTTTGGGGCTGGTTACCCTGTCCATTGATCTTTTTACAATTTATACAGGAAGATCGTGAGTTTGGGGCTGGTTACCCTGTCCATTGATCTTTTTCAATTTATACAGGAAGATCGTGAGTTTGGGACTGGTTACCCTGTCCATTGATCTTTTACAATTTATACAGGAAGATCGTGAGTTTGGGGCTGGTTACCCTGTCCATTGATCTTTCAAAAAAGCAAATATTACAGAATTAGATAGCTTCAGACTTAACACAAAGAAAGATAAAACTCAGTATATTTGCAATACACCGTCGTATCGACAGTGGCTCCTAGTGCTCTCATAAGCGACAATTTTTTAAAACAGAGACTCATACATTTTGCATGTTCTCTAAGTGGTCTAAACACATTAGCACCAGAAAAACTTAAAACAGAGACCCATACACTTGTATGTTCTCAAAGTGGTCTAAACACATTAGCACCACAAAAATTTAAAACAGAAACCCATACCTTTGCATGTTCTTAATAACAAAGACCAGATCATCCTTCTGGAATTTTACAAGGGGGTCTACGACCCACATAAACGACAGTGTCCTGATTGATTTCACTGTTCTTCAACCGTTCGGCCGTCCTCTGTCAAAGCATCTCTCGTCTACCTTGCTGACTAGACGATCCCGAATTTAATGTGACACTGTTGCACTCACAAACACAAACAACATTTTAACACAAAGAGCACTTTTAAAATGTTAATCACTTGTGACTTCGTACATTACGGACACAAAGAGAAGGAAAATTTAAACCACAAAGATTACTCAAAACAAAACAAAAGAGAAGTGAGCGAAAAGTTCAAATCCCAATTCTGATATTAGGAAACACAAAAGATTAGAACGTGTAGGTACTTCAGACTTAAAATCTACTGAGGTTAGGTTAGTAACAAGTCCGTTCCGCACGAAGTCTCGAAATAAAAGTGAGTCAACGCCGGTGTTGCCACGCTTTATATAGGTTTCTGCTACAAAATGGCGTTAGTCCGCTAACAATATATTATATATAATTAGTTTGCCAAAAATGTTTCACTTCTGACATGTGTACTTTGTTTTAATAGAACAGGGCGGGAGGCTCATCTGATGTTAAGTGATACCACCCGTAGATAGTTAATGCCAGAAGGCTCGGATGCGTTGCCGGACTTTTAAGAATTGGTTTTCTTGAAGGACCCTTAGTCGAATTGGTAGTGTTTAGTATACCTATCTAAGAATGGCACGTATTGCACTAAATTTACAGGACAAGAGAAGAAGTACAGAAATAAGAAAGAAAACATTAATATTGATGGACTGTCCCATTGCAAATAATTTAAGTGGAACTGGGCCATATCGCTTGCATGAACAATGGCCGATGGACAAACAGGGTGACAAGGTGCCACCAGGAAAAAGAAAGAGAGGTCGCCCTTTCCACGGTGGGCTGACGATTTATCGGGGAAGATTGCGTGCGAAAAGTGCATACTTAAGTACACGCGTTAGAAGTTATACTTCTAAGATAAAAATCTTTTCAAAAATGTCATGTTACGTTTTAGAAACAACAACACTAACAATAGAAAAAATTTATTTAATACATTGAAAGTTTTATAATAACGCATTATCTAGTTAAATAAAGTTTATTTAAATATCCCAAAATAAAATGTTGACTATATCTAACTTCAGGGTGTCGGTTTTTTGTGACGGTGTGCGCGCGCATCGTAAAAATTTACTCTCATCATTTTTCCCTAACGAGCCTAAAAAAGTATAACCTCAAAAATTTATGTGTGTATCTTTTGTAAAGATGAATGTATCATGGAATGAATGAGGCTTAATTTCCCGACGACTCAGTTTAATATGTGTCGACTATAACTAAAATAACAACAACAATTATCATAGTTTGACGGTAGACCTTTTGGTTTTTACTCTGGCTGAGTTTACAAGCTAGTTTAATTAGTAAGATACATATAATTTGATTAATTGTAGGTGTCCAGGTGTAATTATGTTTATGTAGGAAAATAAATAATTTAATAATTTCACACGGATTTTGGACATGTACTTACAACTACTGTGCCCGCTAGGAAATGACTTCCTTCCTTCCATAATATCAGCTGGATCTCCTGTACATTCAAGATTTGGAGATTCTAATCCATCGGGGTAGCATCGGTAGAAGAAATCTGGGCGTGGTCGACCTGAAAGTTATTCCTAATTCTAGTAACATTATAAAAATATATTCAACTGTAAAAACTATTTAAAAAAAATCTGGAGCTTCTTGCCCATTCTTCTCCAAACTCAGACTCAAAATAAATTTATTCATATAGGTAAACAAGTACACTTATGAACGTTAGATTCTAAAATTACATTTACTACCAGTTCGCAAGTCAGGAGCGTAGAGCGGGCGAGAAGAACTGGCAAGAAACTCTCTGCCACTCTTTTCAATAGCCAAGTTTTAAGTCATACAAATTGTTTGAACTGGAGCAAACCAAACGAAACTACAAACTAGAGAGAGAGAGAGAGTTAATTTTTTAACTAATTTTGACTTTCAAATAGGCCTAATTGAAATAAATGATTTGACTTTTGCAGCATTGCTAGTTAGTGGTTACTAAAACAATTGACTACAGAATATTGCATATCTTTTAAACATTCAAATAACATTTCTTTAGCAAAAAGCGTTGGAACCATTCAGGTTTAGAGACTTTATTTCTCAAAATTTCGTCTAAAATATTCACTGAGCTTCGATTTGAATGAATTGAAAGAAGTAATATTTTTTTATATTTGTGGGTAATTTATTATACAGCTATGCGCCTTCGTAGGTAAAGATTTTTTTGCCGTAGTTCGTACGTAATTTAGGTAATGCAAGATAACTGGTTCGACGTATACTTCTATGAGTCACAGGTTTCGGTTTGGAGAATGTTAGGCTAGGCTAGTGTGGAGAGAACTTTGTTTTTTTGAAGTGAAAACTTCTTTAGCGGCGTTGTACACTTTTTTTGGAATTGGTAAAAAAATTTAAACTCGCGTCAGGACACGTGACCTGATCGAAAATTCGTAAGACGGATGGAGGGTAGACAGCTGGCGCGGCGTATTTAATGTAATATAAATTGTCATGTTTGTGTACGATAGCGCAATAAATAAATATTGTATTCTACCACATAAATGATAATACTTTTATACTGATTAAAGCAATTCCTGCAAAATTATTCTGTAACCATTCCAAAATATCAAAAATGCACAATGTTAATATTCAAGTTTTCACTTCTGCCGGCACTCCCGGAGTGCAACCCGTCGTTTTTTTTTAATGACAATGGTTTACATAAACTAACCTACAATAAGCTTTGCGGTGTCTGTCAGGACGCCTGTGATTCCCAGGGACAGTGACCATGCCAGAAGAAACTGAAATATTAACCATTATGAGTATACGTTACTATTACAAGTAACTTATATAGCTAAACAATAATAAAAGCGTGCGTACAGAGTACACATGTCAGAAGTGAAACTTCTTTGTAAATTAATTATTACTGAGGTTAAAGCCCCAATAGATGATCATATACCAGTATATGATCACTACATGTATTTGTATATCTATATTCACAATGTTTGCACACTGTATACGTGCTAATGGTAATAAAAAATCTGCGTTTGCACAAGACGTTATGCGACAGAATTGCCATCTAAAGTTTTAATATGTAACTACTAAACGAATACTCTCTCTCTCAATCTTTCTCACTATAGCTCTCTCCCACCTCTCGGTCCATGGCACTCTGCGTGAAGCGACGTTCGCCCTTTCTCACTCTCTCTCAATCGCTCCCTACCTTTTGTTCGACAAAAACGCTGGACATCTTCGTGACGCTAATATTATTATTAATGAGTTTCATGCGTAAAACAAATTACCCTCATGCACCTAAAGAAGTTTCACTCCAATAAAGATATTTTTAGGTCTGGGCCTCAGATATCTGTTTCATGATCATTTGTCAATTGACAAGTAGGTGATCAGTCAAGTGCCTGACACACGCCGTCGCCTGTTTGGGTCCAAGGCAATCCGGTTTCCTCACGATGTTTTCCTTCGTATATTAAATGCGCACATAGAATGACCTTTTGTGCACAGGATCGAACCTGCTCCCTCAGAGATGAGAGTCGCACGCTGAAGACACTAGTGTCTTGGCCTAGGCCAACACTGCTCTTACAGCTAAACAACACTAAAATAATATTGTTGCCTTTTACATGAGTCAAAATAAAAACCTTTAGCGGATAAAAACGCAAATTTATTACATCAACATAACTCTATAAAAAGCACTAGAAACCAGTGCTTTTAGCAA